ATATATATATATATATATATATATATATATATATATATTAGTGCTGTCAAAATTAGTGCATTAACGCATGCAATTTATTAAAAATAATTAATTCATTTTCTTGTCGGCTTAGTCCCTTTATAATCCGGGGTCGCCACAGCGGAATGAACCACCAACTTATCCAGCAAGTTTTTTTACACAGCGGATGCCCTTCCAGCCGCAACCCATCTCTGGGAAACATCCACACACACACACACTCATACACTACGGACAATTTAGCCTACCCAATTCACCTGCACCGCATGTCTTTGGACTGTGGGGGAAACCGGAGCACCTGGAGGAAACCCATGCGAAGGCAGGGAGAACATGCAAACTCCACACAGAAACGCCAACTGAGCCGAGGTTAGAACCAGCGACCTTCTTGCTGTGAGGCGACAGCACTACCTACTGCGCCACTGCCTCGCCCTGAAATAATTAACACTTAAAAAAAATGTACACAATTAACACAGTTGCAGTTTTTTTTTCTTTCCTGTTGTGGCCGACGTGTGGTAAATTAAGTGTCAGTGAAGTCGCGAGCTGTCAGAGAGCTGTCGCATTCCTCTGCCTTTCAGCATGAGCCCTCCAATGTTTTAGGTTTGACTTGTTTCCCCCTTAAAAGCAACTTTTGTAAAGTGTCTGCTTCGACTTGTCGTGTCAGAATCCTTGTGAAATACAGCCATACTTTAGAACGCTTAGTTTAAGTAGATTTGATGAGCGCCGTGATCATGCGCGTTGAACCTGAAGGGAGTCGCTCCGGCTGCCCTGTCCTGCGCGCCTTGTGTGTGTGTGTTTGTGATTGTGATTGTGTGTGTCTGTGTGTGTGCACAAACCTGCCTAAACATTGTTGTCTATAGCCACTAAATCAAAAAGTTACAAATTGCCGTGAGATTGCATTGCACTCTCAGCTCACATCATTCAAAACAAAAGGTCCACATTGCCCCCTGATCATGTCAACAGACTGGACTGTTTTAGCAACTGGCTGAATGTAAAGGAGGACCGAGCAAAATTGTTTCTGCTTTATAACTAACATTATCAACTCACAGCAATACAACTTTACAATGAGTGCAAATGTTTGTATTCAATACTTTATTATTATAATTTTTCATTTTCCATATCTGCAATTCCTGTATTTTGGCATTTTTTGCAGTCCACTTAGAATCCAACATGGAAATCAGTGTTTTCTTTATTGGCATTGATTGTTTTGAAATTTAAATGTCATTAACATGCCTGTGTTTTAATTTCTGTCATAAATATGGCTGTCAAGCAGGATCTTGATGGTTTATTGTGGGTTTGTTGTTTACATGAAGAAATCTGTGTTACAAGTTAAACAAAAATTCTATTAAACAATTATATTTTGAATTAAAATAGTTTTTATTTTGTGTTCATATAAATTTTACATTTGAATAGTCTTTTAAATGTGATTAATCGAGATTAACTTTCAAAAAAAGTGTAAATAATTAGTTCATTTTTTTAATCGATTGACAGCACTAATGTATACACACACACACACACACACATATATATATATATATATATATATATTAGTGCTGTCAATCGATTAAAAAAAATTAACTAATTAATTGCACCTTTTTAAATCGCATTTAAAATACTGGCTATTTAAATTTAATGTAAAATTTATGTAAACGCCAGACAAAAATATTTAAATTCAAAATATTATTGTTTAATAGAATTTTTGTTTAACTTGTAACACAGATTTCTTCATGTAAACAACATACCCACAATAAAACATCAAGATCCTGACTTGACAGCCATATTTATTACAGAAATTAAAACACAGGCATGTTAATGACATTTAAATTTCAAAACAATCAATGCCAATAAAGAAAACATTGATTTCCATGTTGGATTCTAAGTGGACTGCAAAAAATGCCAAAATACAGGAATTGCAGATCTGGAAAATGAAAAATTATAATAATAAACTATAGAATACAAACTGTTGCACTCATTGTAAAGTTGTATTGCTGTGAGTTGAGAACATTAATTATAGAGTAGAAACAGTTTTGCTTAATCCTCCTTTACATTCATCCAGTTGCTAAGACTAGGAGTATCCCGCAAGTGCACAGAGACTCCCAAATGCCCGCAAATGAATGATAATTTCTTGCAAACCGGTCGTTAAATACATTGCACACCCCTCTCCCCCGCATCTCTCGCGCGCACACGCCCCTACTCAGATACGTCGCTCACTCCACCCCTGACACCCCTCTACAGGCCTGACACAGACACACACAGACAGACACACACACAACGCGCTGCAGACGTTTTGGCCCCAACGGCCTTCCATACTGGAGCGACTCCCCTCAGATTCAACACGCATGATCACGTTCATCAAATTTGCTAAGCGTCCTAAACTAAGCGTCCTAAAGTATTACTTACTTACTTACTTACTTAACTTATATTAAAAAAAATATAAGTATTACTGTATTTCACAAGGATTCTGACACAACAACGTGAAGCATACGCTTTCATTGCGTTTAATGAGGAAACACGCTAAACTTGGAGGGCTCATGCTGAAAGGCAGAGTAATGCCCTGTTTTTGACAGCTCATGACTTCACCAGAGACTTTCTAAGTACATTTATATAAGACACCAATACTCTGATTTTAATATGATTAAGATAATACTCTTATTAAAATTCTACCGTGTAGCCTTAAAAGGAACCTTACCCTAAAGGAACACCGAGTCATGAAATGCGGAGGATTTTCTTTCTGTTCGCCATGCGGTATCAACTTACAACAGAAGTCGAAAGTTAAAAATGAAACACCACAAATTTCATGAAACTCTGGATAACCTGTGATGCAACTAATTGTTTTATACTGGAACTTGCCTTCAAAAAGTGCTTCCTTGGTCTTATCCACATTTATTGCATGTTGAACACACGTCCACCACAACAGGAAGTAAAAAAAACCTGAACTGCGTTAATTTGTTTTAACGCATTAATTATTTAAAATTCATCGCATGCGTTAACGCGTTAATTTTGACAGTGCTATGTATATATATATTCACAGGAGGCCGAATAATTATGACTTCAACTGTATGTGATGTCATTGTATCTGTATACATGTTTAATAAAGTGTATTTGTGTATTAAGTGTAAGTGTTGTCCAAATCTCACAGGAATGATGGACAGAAGACATCCTCCTCCTCCTCCTCCTCTTCATCTTCAGAGTCTGCGGTGCTGCATTTAGCACTGCTGGATCTCTCCAGAGACGTGCTCCACTCCACAGAGCTGGCCAGAGCCGGCGGCGGAGCCTCCTCCTCTAGGCGTCCCAGCAGACTCAGATCTTCATTTCTGCGGGAGGGAGCGGCAGGTCGGGAAGGACGCTCAGGTGTGCTCAGGGCCTCAGAACTGTCGCTGGTCAGCTCTGCTCCAGAAGACATCTCCTGCCGCTCGATCCAGGCGTTATAATAGCGCACGATGTTCTCATGGTTGAGCCGCGACAGCAGAGTCACTTCACCTTTAATTCTGCGAAACTGTTTGCTGGCCGGGTTCACCTGGATCCGCTTCACCGCGTAATAACAGCCGTCTAGTTTATTCTGCACCTGTAAGGAGACAAAAGTGAGCATCCGCAGAAACTCAATTTTTAATTTGAGATGACTGTCGTAATGGAAATGTTTGTCGGTCCAACAATATTTAATTGGACGAACATTTTTTAGTCTTATGCCTGATCCAGGATATAAAAACACACATAAACACATTTAGATCATTTACTTTAATCAGTACTATTGGAATGTGAAGAGACTTTCAACCAGCACAACAGCACACGTTTTTAAAGACGATCACCTACTGCAGCTTTAATTTTAATTTGTAGCTACTGTTACATGGTCTGTGCCACGTTTACTCTCGATAAAGAGACGCACTGGATCGCAGGTATTATCAAAACACGCATTTACAAACACACAGAAACATTGAAATCACGTAGGAACTCACAGGAACACCGAAAAAAAACCCCAGAAGGACGATCAACACCAGACAGGGGACTAAACCAAACTAAAGGGTATAAATACGCAAGGACTAATGAAAACTGAACGCATACAGAAGTGTAACACAGGTAATACTAATAAACAAATGACAGGCGGGAAAACAGAACTAAGGAATCTCAAGAACAAAACATAAGCACATGGATCATAACAACACAGAGCCTGAAAGTCTGACTGACAATAATATTCCCTTTGACTTCGTCACACACACAAACGCGCACATGCGCACACACACACACACACACACACACACACACACACACACACACAGCTCAGAGTGGGACTGACCTTAATAACAGCCCCGAAGGCTCCTTTTCCCAGCAGCTGCAGCTCCGAGAACTCATTATAGTATCTGGAAAACTGTTTCTGCACCTCTGTACTGAAGGGGGCGCTGAGGAGCAGGCTGCGCGGCACCACGGTGGAGGCAAAATCTACACCGGTGTCTGAAACACAGCAGAAGAAGATGTTCACTACTCGCTAAAAGAAAGAAAGAAAGAAAGAAAGAAATCCATCCGCTTGCAGCATCATCAGAGCTGTCAAGCGAGCGCTCTTCCGGCCCGTCTCTCACATACATACAAGCATCTAAATGCTCACGTATCATGCAAAAACACAGAATTTTAACTTGACAATAACTCTCGACAGCCTTTACTGTCTGCTGTATCTTTAATATGGTGTAAAGATTATTATACGTTATTGAAATATCGAGGAGGACGCAGCAAGGAAATATCACTTATTAAATGAAAACTACTTTATTATTGTATGCAACAGTCTTACATTTAAAAAGGGAAACATAATGGTGATCATACGCAGAATATACAGTGTTTTATGGAATATCTTGAACTGACCAGCTATATGTTCTCTTTCCCTTATTTATTTGTTTGCTTATTTATTTATTATTTTGGCGCATGTACTCGTGTGTGATCAGAAAACTAGTGCATTGGCGGCGCACCATCTTTACCAGACTTTGCCTCTCCTTTAACTCCGCCCCGAAGCCCTAGCTGGCCCTTTTTGGCTGGCTGAAAAGGCCGGCCGCTGGCCCAGAGGAAGCCCCGCTTTGGCCCGATCAGGCCCTGGAAGTGACAGTGGAAACGTAACTGGCCCTGGCTCACCCTGGTAAGCTCACTTTATACGCAATAGTGGAAACACGACTATTAAGTGTCATTCGCGCAGTTATGATATTTTAAATGCAAATATTCAATTCAATTTATTTCATCTGTGTTTCTCCAGCGGTTCTACAATGTAGATCGTGTGGCAGCAGCTGAACACAGAAGTTCTAGTAAACTGAAACTGTGTGAGTCCAGTTTTCAGAGCTGAAGTTCAGTTCAGTGTGGTTTAATTTTCACTGCTGAAAGTCCAAACACTGAAGAGCAAATCCATCCATGCACAAGTCCCAAATATGGCATTGTTATGACAACTTGACATAAACATGACACTTGACATCACAAGCTGGTTTGGTCTTTATGACAAAACTTGTCATAAACCTGTCATAAACATGATTGTTATAAAGCCATTCAAAAACTTTCCATTGTCTCCACATGTCAATATTTGGGAATTAGTCTGGACTCTCACTTCACTTGTTGTAACCATGTTCAGTGGCGCAAAAAGGGGTATGCAGTGTATGCGGCGCATAGGGGCGCCACACATGGGGGGGCGCCATTGTGCCAAAACTACTTTTGAAATTATCCTTATTAAAAGTTTTAAATAATAAACATAAACAAATGATTTTAATTAAAATGTTTATGCTGCATGTTATATTAATATAATACTGTATTTTATTTTAAAAATAAATAAATTATGCCACCCCTCCCTCTCCGTTGCTCAGTTACAGTCACGTGTTCGAAATAGAGAGAAGAGTGAAGAGACGCGAAGCGCAAAATAGAAAACGAAAAAAAAAAAGAACAAACAATGTCTTTAAAACGAAAACTTCCATGACAAACTGAATATTAAGAGTGGTAAGCTTAACCCACACTATTATTACCACACTTTTAATCAACTTCTAATGTTTTTGGGAGTGTTAGGCCGCCATATCATTATTTATTCAAATATAATTCATTGTGCTCAAAACTATTTCAATTTAGTTCCAAAAAAGTGTGCCAATAACATTTTGATATTTGTATTGTATATATTTATTTTATTTAACTTTTTGAGAGGTATAATAGCAGTTTCAGTCAATTGTTCATTCAAAGACAGACCTTAAACCTCCCTCAGTATGCATGTGAGAAGTGATTGCATTTTTAAGTTGTTTTGCCCTTTAGGACTCCCAGATCTATCATTTTGTTTTGACAAATGTACAAAAAGTACAAAAGCAAGGCATGTCAATGTGCTATAATCATTTAGCAATGAAAATGGAATTGAGAAGAAATTTGGAGTGGTATGAGATGTAATTCTTTGTGACTTAACATGCTTAAACAGGGTGAGGGGGTGCAAAACTTGAACCCGCATACCCCTCAGTAAATGGGTAGTTGCGCCCCTGACCATGTTCAAAATGTTTATAAAAAGCTGAAGCAAAAGCTATTTGTTTATGGGAATATTAGGACAAATCTGTCTTTCTGTTTCAGAAACTTATCTTAATGCCATTATCTTGTCTAACTTGTCTTACTGTTTACCTGTTTGGTCTCTCACAACAAACGATATCTTGGAGCCAATAGCTAGACTGTACAATAGGGCCTATAAGATCCACAACACACTTTCTGGATGGACAAATCACTGTTTTGCTCTATCACTTTCTAATGATTTAACAATTCCAAACTCCATTAAGAACACGGGGATTAAACTGTACTATCACATTTTAAAAGTGCTACCTCAGCAGCCCTTTGTGTTTTGGTACCAAAACTCAACACAAGGACTGATCGTTCCACCAGATCTGTAACAAATGGATGTTTGCCAGTACCGGCTTTATAAAACTGTTTTGGACAGAGATCTTTCTTTTATGTTTTCACGAAAGCCTGGAATGAGATCCCACAACATCTAAAAACAATACCAGGTCCCAATTTATATTAAGTGTCCTTAACTACTATGTACTTACCTCAAAAAAATAAATACAATGTACTTACTGTGTTTATAATGTATTTGAGAACACTTGTGGTGCTTTTGAGTTGGGATAGAGGTTGGGTTATGGACAGGTTTGGTGGTGTGGGTAGGTTTAAGGGTGGGTTAAGGTGTAAGGGATGGTCAACAGAGTATTTACAAATGTAGTTACAAAAGTTAATTACAGATGTAATTACATACATGTATTTAATCAAGCATACATACAAAGTAAATACATGTATTTACACAATAAGTACATTGCAACAAACTCTAAATTTCTATGTAAGTACATATTAGTTAAGGCCACTTAATATAAAGTGGGACCCAATACCAACACTGAGACTTTTTTTAAAAATCCCATGCTCGTCATCTGATGGTCAACTATCACTATAGCCACTGAGATAGTAGCCTGCGTTTCTCTATTTTATATGTTTGGTGATTGCTTGTACTGTGTTGATGAATGAGATCTGGGTCTGTTTTTATGTTCTGCAGAGCAGGAACCTGCTGAAAAACAGCAAAACTGAGTCAGGCCCAATTGTCTTTTAATCTTTTCCTGTTTAAAAATTATAAATAAATAAATAAATAAATAAATAAAATATAAATAAATAAATAAATAAATAAAATATAAATAAATAAATAAATAAATAAATAAATAAATAAATAAATAAATAAAATATAAATAAATAAATAAATAAATAAATTGCGTCATGAAATTAATTTCTTTTGTGGAACAAACTGTATTCGTCTTTAAAAGTGTCATTACGCGGTCAAATAGTTTTTATTTATATTATTTTATTATATTTAATGATATTTAATCATAGTTGATGTGGTAATGAGGTCAATAAAATATTATTGACGCTGTAATAAAATTCCTGACATGTAATATAATGGCTTTGTGACAAATCATGTTTATGACAGATTTATGACAAGTTATGTTGTTGACAAGAAAAAGACAAAAACAGGTTGTGATGTATTTGTTTATAGTCTGAATCATTAGCCCTCCTGAATTATGTTTTTCAACACATTTCTAATCATAATAGTGTTAATAACTCATCTCTAATAACTGATTTATTTTCTTTACTATGATGACAGTATATAATATTAGACTAGATATTCTTCAAGACACTTTTATTAAGCTTAAAGTGACATGTAAAGGCTTAACTAGGGTAATTAGGGTAAAGTTAGGGTAATTAGGCAAGTCATTGTATAACAGTGGTTTGTTTTGGAGTCAATCCAACACTAATATTGCTGTAGGGGCGAATAATATTGAGCTTATAATGGCTTTAAAACTATTAAAAACTGCTTTTATTCTAGCTGAAATAAAACAAATCAGACTTTCTCCAGAAGAACAAATATTAGAAGAAACACTGAGAACATTTCCTGAATCTGTTCAACATCATTTGGGAAATAATTGAAGTAAAAAACATTCACAGGAGGACGAATATATCTGACTTCATCTGTATGTCAAGTTGCCATCTTTGAATTTAAAACAGCATCTGAGCTAATGACACCTTATGCATGCATAAAACCTCGTTCACATTCATAATGTGTCATGTCATGATTATAAAGGTTTCATTACAGTCTTATGAACACCCCTTCAAGTTAAGTGCTACTATTAAAGGTATATATATAATGTCAGTCTGACCCTCTGGACTGGACTCCTGGCAGGGTGGCAGACTCTTGGGTGACGGAGGCCTGAGGAACGGATGATCCAGCAGCTGATGAGTGTGCCAGCGGTCAGCGTCATCCAGACACACACACCTGCAAAAAAACAACACACACAACAATCATGACATGTGTCAATTATGGAGTATGGTTCACGATCGACTGCTAGATCCACATCACTCTCCTGGTATGAAAATAACAGGACAATAATACAAGAATGCATCTTGAGCAGTGCTGGGCAAAAATGTAATGCCTCCAAAATAAAAGGTAGTTTTGAGGTGTGTGTGTGTTATATTTTTACTATCTATAAGCAATACACACATGCACATATGAGTTGGACAATGAAACTGAAAGGCCTGCTTTAAGAGCACAATAACTCATTGGTATGGTGTGCAGAGCCTTATGAGGTGCCGTATAGGATTTAAATCAAACTTTGCTTATCAACACATACATAAAACACGTGTATATACACCTATAAATTACTCGCATATACATCTATACTACTGGATGTTCAAAACAACATGGATGAAACTTGTGTATATACATATAAACTTGACGCATGAATACACCCACATACACACGCGCATACATATAAACTCGATCCTCACATAAACACCCACATTAACACACGCACATACATATAAACTTGCTGCATGCAAACACACCTATACACACTCGCATATACATATAAACTCGGTCTATGCATATACACCCTCAACAACACGCGCACATACACAAACTCACTGCATGCAAACACACCTATACACACTCGCATATACATATAAACTCGATTCTCACATAAATACCCACATTTACACGCACATACATATAAACTCGCAGCATGCAAACACACCTATACATACTCGCATATACATATAAACTCGGTCTGCATATACACCCTCAACAACACGCGCACATACACAAACTCACTGCATGCAAACACACCTACAACATCTCGCGCAAACATACAAACGTTTATCATGAATCTGGTTATTGCAAAGCTTATGAAATAGAAATAATGTGATTAATAGAGGGATTAAATATGTGAAATTATGAACATATGTTATATAAAATATTAGTCTATATAAATAGACTATTCAAAATAAGAAATATTTTTATTTAAAACCTTTTTATTTAATTAGGTAATTACATACACAAATATAAATGGACAGATAGAACCCTTAAAGGACGTTCAAAAAGCAACTAGGACTATAAATATAAATGTATACTCAAACTAAACTCCTCTATTCTATTGCAAATGTTAATGTAGCCTTTAGTCTTCTTGTTTTGTTTTTTACATTTTTATAATTATTATGCTTTTTATATGTTTTTACAATGTGGGTGTCAAAATTGCAAGCTTTTGGTATCATTTTGATTGTTAATTATTCAGCATAGACAAAAAAAAAAAAAAAAAAAAAAACATATTTTTACAGCAGCTGGCATCCAGCATTTTGGTGCATTAGCCTGTTTATTGGTGACAGGAAAACCCACTTAAGTGCATTCCTGCCCCCTACTGGACATAAGTGTGTATCATAACCCTTGACGAATAGTGACACCAATAATAAAACAAACCTAAACTAATATTAGACAAACATATTTTATTCAAAATGATTACTTAAGCAACCTTATATTTATTAAACCATTATAACATTTCCAATAATTTAATTGCATAATAAACCTTTAATTTTGCAGGAGCATTCCTTTGCATGACCTTTTTATTTATTTATTTTTTAGAATTAGCATAATCTATTTTCATAATTCAACAGACGTAATTCCTCTATTAATCACATTATATCTGTTTCTTAAGGTTTGCAATAACCTGATTCATGACAAATAATAATCTTGTTCATTACACTCAAAGGACTTTTACGTTGAAATTAAACGACTTCCTTTTAAAGTGAAATACCTTCCTTTTACTGTGAAAATTCATGCACACACACATATGAAATCACTTGCATATATGTATATTAAGGGTGGAGCCGAACCCGAATACGGTATTCGGAAAGGCACGAATAGCGTGTTTTTACGAATACTTATTTCGAACAAATACTTGAAAAATTATTTGTATTCGGGAGCAAGAAAAACACTATATCAAAAAGCAGCGTTTCCTCATGAGACCACAGTGCATGCCCGCGTGAGTGAGTGAGTGAGTGAGTGAGAGAGAGAGAGAGAGAGAGAGAGAGAGAGAGAGAGAGAGAGAGAGAGAGAGAGAGAGAGAGAGAGAGAGAGAGCGAGCGAGCGAGCGAGAGAGAGAGACGCTCAGTCGGAGGGCGGGGCGGAGGTGACTGGCACAATCTTCTCCACAGATACAGACAGAGAAGGCTCGGCTGAGCGAAAAAAATATTTTACTGCATCACTATTTTTGTTAAATAGATTTTTGTACCTTAATTGGGTTCCAGATGCAGTTTATAAACTTGTAGCGGAGTTTGATCGGGATCGGAAAGTTTGCAATCGGGTGCTCTCTGTTTACGCAACGTTAGCTCTGTTAGCGCGGTAAATTAGACAATAGACTGTTGACAGAGTAACGTTAACGTTCGTTTATAAAGGTTAAAATGATGCTTGTGCTGTTGTGTCGAATATTATGCACTTATGGGAGTTATATGGTACGTCTACATTACTGTCTTTTGCAGACAGCAAGATATATGCTATAGGCTAGTTAACCTTAGCATAGCTTCCCGTCACTTTTTATTAACTTGAAACTCCTCAAATACATTTGGGCACCCGAATAGAAAAAGAGTGAGACTGCTGCTGAGCCATTTCTTGGTCCTCCACCAGTCTAAAAAAAAACCAAAAAAAAACATGTTCTTTGTGGAAGAATTTTACAGTCAGTGGAGCTGCAGATAAAGCAAAGTGATACTGTATAATGTGGGCAAAAGTGAAATCGGCAGAGATATTAAACATCTGTCAACATCTTCTATGCATAATCATTCATTTCTTTTCGGCTACGTCCCTTTATCAATCTGGGGTTGCCACAGTGGAATGAACCACCAATTTATCCAGCATATGATTTACGCAGTTGCTGCCCTTCCAGCTGCTACCCAGCACTGGGAAACATCCATACACTCCCTTTCACACACATACAATATGGACAATTTAGCTTACCCAATTCACCTGTATTGCATGTGTTTGGACTGGGGGGGAAACCGGAGCACCCGGAGGAAACCCACGCCAACATGGGGAGAACCCAGTCAGGGCTCGAACCAGCAACCTTCTTGCTGTGAGGCGACAGTGCTACTCACTGTGCCACCGCGCAACCTTCTATGTAATGTATTATCACATGCACTAAAAGCATCCTCTCCTGTAACTGTCTGTGAACCCCCCACAAGCATCAATCCCCTCAATCAGCACAGCTATGTTCTGCTAAATCCTCCACAAGCACCAAACCATCAACACAGCCACATTTTGCCCCAGCAAGTCAGTTTCAAACATAAAAAAAAAAAAAAACCTTTGTGTCTGTTTTGTGGCTGGCTGATGACAATATCAGGGCTGTATCTTTTAGCATTATATAGAATACTTTTGTTCTGCCAGATCTCCCGGGCAGGGGTTTATTAAGATTTATTTAGTTAATTTTAGTATTTGGAATTCTGTCCATTGGAAAGAAGTTCTTTCAGAAGAAGAACAGTTTTTTGAAATATTATTTGTTTTTATTCTGTCTATTCAGTGTCCTTCAACAAGAACGGTGGTGGTGGGGTTCATAATATTCACAATGGTATTTTATTAGTTGTTGGTTTAACCATGGATGAGATAATGGCTTCTATGTTATTTTCTTTTCAATGACATTTCTTATCACATATTCAAAAACAACAGCCAATATTGCATGTCTATAATTTATATAATGGGTATAATTTAACAATACTTTCACTATAACGTAAATTAGAAGTGTAATAGAAAATATATATATTTTTGCGCCATTTTGAATTTTACTCGAATACAAATACAAATACAAATACAAATACAAATACTTTTCCCACTCAACAAATACAAATACAAATACAAATACCGGCTGCTCCGCACATCCCTAATGTATATACACAACTAACTGTATATATGTTTGTGAATTTTATTTTGTATGTTTGCACAAGTGTCATTTGAGTGTTTATGCACACATCAAGTTTATATTCTTATGTGAGAGTTTATGGGTGTATATGCATAGATCAAGTTTATATGTATATGCGAGTGTGTATAGGTGTGTTTGCATGCAGCAAGTTTATATGTATGTGTGTGTGTTAATATGGGTGTTTATGTGAGGATCGAGTTTATATGTATGTGCGTGTGTATGTGGGTGTATTCATGCGTCAAGTTTATATGTATATCGCAAGTTTCATCCATGTTGTTTTGAACATCCAGTAGTATAGATGTATATGCGAGTAATTTATAGGTGTATATACACGTGTTTTATGTATGTGTTGATAAGCAAAGTTTGATTTAAATCCTATACGGCACCTCATAGAGCCTTCTTTTGCAGCCAGTACAGCATCAGCTGGTCTCGGGAATGAGTCCTGCACAGTGGCCAGAGGGATTTTGAGCCGTTCTTCTGTCAGAATAGTGTTCAGGTCACTACATGAAAACATTTCCCGACTCACTCCTCCAAAACACCCCAAAGTGCTCGATAATGTTTAGTTCTGGGTACTGTGCAGGCCATGGGAGATGTTCAACTTCACTTTAATCTTCGTCAAATCAGTCGGATTGGTGCATTACTATCCTGACACACTCCACCGCCTTTAAGATTCAATGATTGAAGCAAATGACTAATAAACAATGAATGAATGATGAATAATGAAGGAGAGCAATGCACATGTATTTGTATTTTTTAAATGTGCTAATTATATTATGACCTTAGCTGACCCCTGACCTGTTAAGGAAGTCTCTGAGGTCTGCAGGCAGCGTGTCGGGAACCGTCAGCGGATACTCCTTGACCTCTCGGCCGACGGCGAGCGCCAGCAGCAGCAACCCGAAGCTCCACACGTCCCCTTTCTTACCCGCCCGCGCCGGCAGAGCGTCCTCGCTGAAGCGCACGTGACTCTGCTCAAAGATGTCCTCCTTACACACGTCTGACAGACGCTTGCACAGGCTGTAGTCGGAGAGCCGCACGTCCCCGCGAGCGTCCAGCAGCACACAGGAGGCGCTCAGATGCTTGTGCACCACTGTTCAGGTGGGAAACATTGACACCATTATTTATGCATGCATGGATGTCATTTTCATAACAGTGGTCTCTAGAGAAGAGCTTTGCTTGTGCACCACAGTTTATGTGGAAAATACGGTTAAGGGTCTGTTTTATTTTTTTATTAATTTTGGGCATTTTTAATTGAATTGATCAGGGGTCCGTTCTTTGTACCGCGCTTAAATGATTTAAGATGATTTGGCAGATCCTGGATCTGTTCATCTTGATAACTGATCTCTCGCTAATTTGGTTCTTCAAACAAGTTCGCAAATCAGATTAGAATGTCTGGATGAACTGATCTGAGATCAGGTTCAGCTATCCAGCAGGGCTAAAGATGGTGTCTCACTATAGTTGTTAAACGTGATATTTATTAAATCTAGTCTTTATTTAACGACTCTTCGGTCTTTTGAATTTATCAGGTATCGTGTCACAGCGTCAGTTCACTGCTTGTGTTGGTTGGTTCCTGTTGGTTGTGCACTGTTTTTATCAACCAAGTTTGTGGATGCCATTATACCGACACAGATCACTCTGCCTATTCACGCCAGAGTCCCGCAGTAAAAGTAATTTACACGTGGTGACTTGTGTGTAACTTATCTTTATTTATGTATGATTTGTTTATGGGTAAAACAAAGACCATGCGGGTCAGCTAGTTAAAACGCTTGGCTACAAATAATTAATTGGTTATGAATCAATTAATTATTCATAAATAATTAATTTCACCACAATGCCATCGTCCATCGCGATGTTTCACACTAAACATCTTACGATGCCAAATCGGTCGAGATCGCCCAACCCTAAGCCCCATATGATTGGTCAAATTTAGGTAAACAGGGTAAGTGAGCGCCGGGTTGTGAAGTGAGCACAGCTTTGTGGTATCATTGCAGAGAGCCTATAAGTCACTTTCCAAAACCTTTTCATTCACTGTTCCTCACTGGTGGAATGATCTTCCCATTACCACCCGGACTATGGAGGATTCCATGGTATCCTTACACAGGTGAGTGGGCTTGACAAACCACCTGCAGAAAACACTAGGGGTGTCACGATTTCAATTTTTAATCGAAATCGATCGAAATGTATGCTCAATTTTGATTATCGAATCAAAAAATAGAATCGTCGATGCTGCCACGCCCTCATGTCACGTCAGCTTGGCTTGCCAAGCGGGAAAAAAACAGGCTTGTTGAAGTGCTTGTTAAACTGCAGAAGCAGGAGACCCGTCGACAGAGCTTATACCCTCTCTTCTTTCAATGAAGTCGGCGGTGTGGAAGTATTTTGGATTTCCAGTGAGTTATGTTGACAACGTTCGTGTTGTCGACAAAAAAAACACAGTTTTGCAAGCTCTGCTATGTACGTATTACGTACGGTTCGTCCGATAGACAACACCGGCATCGCGATCCTCCGCCTGCCCACGTTGCAAATCCGCTCGTGAAAAGTTCACACTCAGGCCCTGTTTACACTGTCTTTGTTTTTAAATGGCATTTTAGAACGACAACGATTTGACATCCACAGTGGCGTGTGGCATTTCTGAGCAGCCCTCCTTCCTCTCTACCTCTGAAAATGCACATCACGTGACCACACAGACACAGACGCACACACAGCCATGCGCTCGAGACAGCAGGTCCAGGCAGTCAGAGGACTGCTTCAATCTTTCACTCACTTGTACTTAGTCATTTTAGCGAACACCTCAGATACTGTTGGCTGGTTCCTGTTGGTTGTGCGTCTTTTTTACCGACGCCATTATAACAACACAGATCACTGCCTATTCACGAGTCCCGCAGAAAAAGTGATTGACAGGTGGTAATTATGTGTGTATCTTGCCTTTATTCATTTACTGTATGATTTGTTTATGGGTAAAACAAAGACCATCCAGGTCAGGTAGTTTAAACGGTAGGCTACAAATAATGAATTGGTCATTAATTAATTAATTATTCATAATCGAAAATCGAATCGAATCGTGCCTTTAGAATCGAAAATGTAATCGAATTGAAGATTTGGAGGATCGTGACACCCTTAGAAAACACACTTCATGTCTCTGACACTTTAATCAACACTTGCACCAGTTTTGCACATTTGGACCAGACACTTGCTAACAATCGCTCCCCATCTCAAAAAACAACCCTTTTGCCAGGTCAGTGGGCTGTTTTTGTAAAAACACATTTCCCACTCTATTTAAAAACACTCCTCCTTACTCCAGCACTTAATTCTCTAAACACTAACAGCTCCTCTGTATAATCAACACTTGTTGTGTATTGCCTCATCTTGTTGAATCACTGAATGCCCCCTTACTTGTAAATTGCTTTGACAAAAGCGTTGCTAAATGTAAATGTGTAGAATACACATTATATATAATAATAATTGTTACGGAGATTATAGAAGTTGTAGTTCATGTAGTAGTAGATGTCATTGGTATAGTAGTAGCAGAAGTAGTAATGGTGTGGTTGTTACAGTAGTAGTAGTAGTAGTCGTTGTTGGTGTAGTAATATCAGTAGTAGATGTTGTTGATGTAGATGTAGTAGAAGTGATTGTAGTAGTAGTAGTAGTAGTAGTAGTAGTCGCAGTAGACATTGTTGTATTAGTTGTAGCAATAGTACTATCAGTAGTGGTAGTCGTTGTAGTAGTATCAGTATTAGTAGACACTTCAGTAGTAGTAGTCGTGGTTGTGGCTGTAGTAGAAGCAGTAGTAGTTGTAATATAAGTAACTTTCTGTTGTAGTAGTTGGTGTAGCACTTGTGATTTATTATTATTGTCGTCAGTTATTACTGTTGTCCTTTCTCTCTTTTTACTCTCATATTTACTATCATACATTAATAAGCATTGTTGTTACTCCCTACCTCTGACTGGATTCTTTCTATATGTTTTATTTATATCTGTGACACTTGCTTCATTTATTGACTGTTATTGTTCCTAATGTATGTACTCTGACCTGTCCACCAAGTTACCTTTACATGCATACACACACACACTCACACGCACACACTCACGCACATACCAGTACCTGACTATATTGTTGATGTTTTTGTTTTGTTTTTGTTTTGTTGCTTTGTATTTGTTATCTGTTGATGTTTTCTTGTATTTGCATGATTTTTGCATATTCTAATAAAAAAATAAAATTAAAAAAAGAATACATATCATTCATCATGCACACCTGCAATATGTATATTGCATACACTATCATCACATCAACAAAAATGTTGCAATGCATCGTGCAGCCCTAATCAATAAATAAATAAATGAAGCGTATTCGTGTGACCTGAGTTAGTGTGCAGGTAATGTAGAGCGCTGAGCAGCTGTTGTGTGTGTCGCCGCAGCTCATCCACCGGCACCGCACACCCGCTGGACACCCGCTCAGCCAGACTGCAGCCGGACACGTGTTCAGCCAGCAGATGCACCGTCAGGCTGTCCTCGCTCTCACTGATGCTCATGGCCTGATAATGCACCAGATGAGGATGCTGGAGCTTCAGCAGAGAGTTCAGCTCGCTCTCCACTCCCTGAATCTGCAATTACAGCATGCATTTATTTACATTTACTGTCAGAATTAGAATGACGATCAGATTTTATGCAATACCTTTTTTTCAAATATTTTTTGGAAAAAAATAAATATTCACAGTATTTCCTCTAATGTTTGTTCTTCTGGAGAAAGTCTTGTTTGTTTTATTTGGATTAGAATAAAAGCAGTTTTTATTTGATTTAAGCCATTTTAAGGTCAATATTATTCGCCCCCTTGAGCAATATTAGTGTTGGATTGTCTCCAGAACAAACCACTGTTATACAATGACTTGCCTAATTACCCTAACTTTACCCTAATTACCCTAGTTAAGCCTTTACATGTCACTTTAAGCCGAATACTAGTGTCTTGAAGAATATCTAGTCTAATATTATTCGGTGTGTTTCGTGCCAGCATGTATTGGTTATTTATGTTTGTTTTATTATGTGTCTCATTGTGTTTTTCTTTTTATCACTCCATTTCACTTCTTTGTTTTTGCTTACTGCTGTTCCTGATTGGCTGGTTCACATCCACTTGATGCAACCAATCCTGACACTGCTTTATGCTGATTGGTTCCTCTGTGACAACTCTGTTCCAGTTTCAGCCAATTAGATTACTCCAGCTCACTATATATTTTTTGTCTGCCAGCAGTTTGTTAGTCTTTGTTGGCTCACCTTTTTACTGGTTTCTGTGCTTTTTGCTCGCTTGATTGAACCTGTGTTTGTATCACCATTTTGTTCAGTTTTGTTGTGATATATTGTCTGTCTTATCCTTTATTTACACTGTGTTGTTATTTTGGTTTAGTCACTGTCTGGGGTCTGTTCTTTGTACCGCGCTTAAATGATCTTAGATGATTTGGCAGATCTTGGATCTGTTAATCTTGATAACTGATCTCTCGCTAATTTGGTTCTTCAAACAAGTTGGCGAATCAGATTAGAATGTCTGGATGAACTGATCTGAGATCGCTGCATGTGTTGTGAAGGACAGATCTATCCATCCTCGAAATCATGATCAGCAATGCAGCGATTGGCTGTCGGCACAGCAGCGTGATGACATCATCTGATTAATATTCAATTATCCATGTGAGCAAAATTACATCAAATTAGCAGTAAACGGCTTGTTTAATATGACACGCAATAACCTTCCACATTTGTTGTGAGCTGCAGGCTTTACACTTTCATGTGTCGAGAGTATTCATCATGTATTTCAGTGCATATCAGTGTATTTAGTTCTACATTTAGAGAAGATTTTCTTTATTATAGTAGCTGTTTTTTAATCGGTGTATGGAATAACTGGTTGTTTTCAAAAGCATTTTGATATTGGTAAAGGCGTCTGCAACTTTTGTGAAGCATCAAATCACTGACATATTAACTGTCAAAACATGTTCATGACTGCATAAATGTATTATTGCTCACATATTCTGCATTTCTATTATACACAATTTGTACTAAAGCGATCTAAAAAGTTCATATCAATAAGTTTTCTCTTTGCACCACCAGGTGGCAGTCTTTGTACTTTCATTTCGAGGGTGCAGATTGCATGTTTTATTAATATGTATAATTTTATTTAATTTATTAATGACTATAACTTTATATATATATATATAACCTTATATATATATAAGTCGCTTTGGATAAAAGCGTCTGCTAAATGACTAAATGTAAATGTAAATGTAAATATATATAGTTAAAAATATGTACCATTTTCCCAAGTGTATATAACTACTACTGTAAGAAAATATCAGAATTCGGTACTTTCTCTATTATCTTTGCTTGAACTGAGCCGATCTAATCCTGTTTATATGAATTGAACCTGCTCCCGATCAGGTTTGACCCAGCAGAACTGTTGCTATGACAACAACTCTCAGATCAGCTTTGAAGAACGAAACGATCCTGAATCGTGTCAAATCGTCAATATCCAAATCCAGCTAACTGAGTAATCCACGTACGAAGAACGGACCCCTGATCTTACCCGTGTAATCATTCATTCCCTTTCCTCATGTTTCCCTACAGAGGTTTGGTAGAAAGACTGGTAGATAAGTAGGTCACGTGACGTACATTTCAACACATAGGAGTTCAACTGTCTAGGGCAGGGGTGTCAAACTCAATTCCTGGAGGGCCGAAGCCCTGCACAGTTTAGTTCCAACCCAGCTCCAACACACTTACCTGTAGGTTTCCAACAAGCCTGAAGGACTCAATTAGTTTGATCAGGTGTGTTTAATTAGGGTTGGAACTAAACTGTGCAGAGCTGCAGCCCTTTGGTAACCGAGTTTGACACCTGTGGTCTAGAGATACACTAGGGAAGGGGGTGAGCGCCAACCCGTGTATTTTTGGTTAAGTATATAGTTAGTGTAGATTAGGTAAGACGTCTTGGAGATTTATTTCCACATTATTGTTTATTAGACTAGATTAGCGGGGATTTGATACTAGTAAGACTGTTTGGTTTTGATTGTTTTTTTGCTTTAGCGCCACCCATAGCCAGTCTTTCTCATTTATGTTTTGTTTTGGTTGTGAATTGTAAATATTGTAAATAGCTCACTCACTGTTTCACTTATCACCACTTGTAATAAATCACTTTATTTGCACAGCAATTCTTGTATGTGGTCATTACTTTGAGTACAATTTTCTTTGAGTGTTTGTTTGAACAAAATCCTTGATCAAGTGTGCAACCCCACTTCCCTAGACTGCCCAGGGGTTGTAACACAGTGTCATCATGGCAAGGCAAGCAAATTTCCCAGAGTGATGTTCAATAGACCTTTTACGCACTTCCACATTTTTCGAACGGAAATACGTCAATGTAGTGCATTAGAACTTCCTGTTATCATGGCGGCAGATACGAAAAATGGCAGAGTCGAAGAATCACAGTTTCTGTTGTGTTCCAGGCTGTTCATCTTCTAACCAAAAACAGCCCTACCTTTTATTTCATTCTTTTCCTGTGGATCCAAACCTGAAACCCAAATGGATACAGGCGATCTGAAGAGAGGAAGGGCATAGTTTTAAATGTAAAACAGATAGCACCTATGTCTGCAGCCGGCACTTCGCTCCGGATGATTACAGCGGTGGCTGCGTCGTTCGCCGCAGGAAGAGTGGTGTTGTCCCGAGCTTATTTTTCTTTGGAACAACTTTACAGCTCCTTTGAGAAGGGAGTCAGTATATGACAGAACCTATAAACGTCAGTCTAAACGGCTATGCTGTGAAGATAGCGACACGGTGGCTAAGGCAGCAAGGATGGATCACGACTACGTGACACACCCACCTGCATTGAGGTAAAGTTGGTATTATATTAACACATTCGTTTATTTAGAAGTCTCTATATTATTTAACATGTTACTTTGAATATTCGATCGAAATAACCATGCAAACATGACTACAACATTAACAGTGTTTATTTGACTGTGAACAATGCTGTACTTTGATAATCATTGGCTGCTAATATGATTTCACTATTTAGAGTTTGCAAATAATACTTTAAATAAATTATATTGTTAAAGGGAAAGTCTGAATGTGCAAATAAGAACCAGCTTTACCTCTATCCCACCTGCAGGTAAGATTGTTCTGTGTATTTAGTTAACGCTAGTCACCTGTGTGTACCGTTATGCATATCTACCTGAACAAATTAAAATTCAAATTAAATTGGTAATAATATAAGCTGTTCACGAAACTCAACTAATAAAATAATTTTTTTTTTTTAATAATGAAACAATTTATTGCTGTGACATTAGGGGTGTAACGATACACAAAAGGCACGGTTCGGTTCGGTTCGGTTCACAGTTTTGGAGCCACGGTGTGGTTCGGTACGGTTCGGTTTCTGTTTGCTGTGGGGTTAGGGTTGATGTCATGCTAACAGCAATGCTAAGGAACAATTCACTTAATAACAAGAACATCTTACCTTTTTCTTTATTAACTTTGTCATCGCATGTTTAGTACAGTCAGGATTCCCGAGTAAACAACTAGAATTAAATAAATACCTCCAATATAGACTATTCAGAAAAAAACTATTCTCTTTAGTGCAGCCATCTTAACTAAGTAAACTAAAATTAAATAAATAACTGCAGTGTAGACTAGTGAAAGATCTTCAAAAACACCATAATATCCACATTCTCCGATGAGATGGGATTATATGGTTTCATTTAGATAGATAAGTTTCCGTTTAAATTAATGAAAAATATACATATACTGTGTTTGTAAAGTGTTTTTTCATGACATATTCACCAGTAAAATACATTGCGGTTGTGTCTGAAACTAATGTTAGGGTTGTAGCCGGCTGTATGTTTGCCTCCCGATCTCTCTCTCTCTCCCGCTCCCTCTATGCTGGACATTTCTGTAGGTCCGCCTTTTTGACAGCTGATTGGTCAGGAGACCGATCTATCATCATTTGGCGACGCAGCGCGGGAATGTAAAAAGCAATTCAGGAAGAGCGGGAGAGAGAGCGCTTTTTCCTTTGATCTCGTTTTTCGTGTATTTTTCTGACATGATTTTGATTTTCGTTGTTTTTGCTTAACTTTCGTTTGGGTAAAATTATTTTGCATTACTTTTGCCCACTTTAAGACATTTTGTGAGGTTTGTACATTTTTATTTTTAATTGATTTGTATATTATTTTTTAGCTCCGACAATAGCTGCATCTCCTCAAGTTCAGTCTCAGTGTAAGGTGGATAGGGAAAATGTCATACGATTTCCATTTTGCAAACACGTAGAAAATGTATTGTTAAAGACATCAGGTAAGAGGTGAAGGTCATCTTTGTTTATTTTATTCAGTATATGGAAGAATGCGGCGCACGGCGCTGAAGACCTTTTTTTTCTTTTCATCAGTTTTAGCGAGGTAAGAGGGGTTATTCATGAGTTAGAAGTGTTTTATTATATTTATTTCTTTTGTTTGTCTTCACTATCACCCCCTTGCTCGAGTTTAACTAATTTTTGTTTGATACTTTTGTTTGAATTTGTTACTTTATTATATTATTTTTATTAGTGTAAATATTTCTCTTTTTTGTGTATTTGGGCATTATTCTGGTTTTACTTTTGTACATTAAATCACTTTTGTTGGCAGTTCTGTTGCTTACGCCCTCACATTGTGAAATTACCACACTTTTTAAATGTTTTTCCTTACAAGTAAGTTTCGTGAAACAGTTGAGACAGACAGGCGTGCGCTTTGTCTACGACACGAATTCTATTCCTGTACTCAACTGGAAAACCAAAATGTTTCCACACAGATGACTTAAATGTGTCTGGGGGATCTGCAATCTCAGAACTATGTGAAGCAGCCATCCTGCGTCCAGTAGTAACGAGTGTGATGCTTACTCAAGTCACATGACTTAACATGCACTAAAATACTAACTTTAGAATATAATATTTAGAACAAATCCTCATCATTACTAAAACAATTTAATCAAATATGATATTAAAGATGTGTTTTAATTGGTTCAATTAGTTAGAGACAAGTAACGTCAACCTCAACAATGGGCAGCAGGGGGCGTGAGAGTACCGCGGTACGCCACGAGAGTTTCGTGATACGTATCGTGGTTGGTGTATCGCGATATTTCGGTTCGGTTTTAATATCGTTACACCCCTATGTGACATGTAGTAAATACACTAAGTTTTATCATACTAGCATGTGTGGAAGTATTTAAAACAAGTGTGTTACAACTGGCCCTGTGTTAGGTTCTGCCCCGCTCTCCCCTATTTTAATTGCATGTATTTAATTACTTATTTAATTAACTTCGGAAGACAACTCAGGCTCGCCGAAAACACTCTAGCTGCCTTTTCTCCGCCAAAAAACTCATACCGGAACTGGGTTTACACGTTGTTGACGTACTTCCGGTTTTTGCGTAAAAGGTCTATAGAGGAAGGCAAATTTCACGGTATTCTTTGTATGATTATAAAAAATACAATTAATTCATGTCTACCATTAGAGGCTGGATATATTCACACAACTGTGTTTAAAGCCCTTATAAAAGTGATTCTTTGCTCAATAGTTCCCCTTGAAGGCTGCTGTGATGGAAGGTTGTTTCTCTACCTGTTTTTTGCATTTCTCGATCTTCTCCTTCTCCTGGCTGGTGAAGAACTTCCCGATGGTTTTGTTCCATCTCAGGATCCACTCGTAGACCACTGCGAAATCTCCAGATATGGAGTTAAAGGCGTAGTAAACACTGCGGCCCAGTCGCTCGCTCTCACCTGCCGGAGGAACAGCACATTTAGGTGTCATTTACAGTACGCTGTCTTCCTGTGTTATAGAATAAAAACACCCCTCGTCAACTTAGAAAAACACTCCATATCTAAACCACTGATGAGCTGATTATTAATAGTTAGTAAACTAGAAGTTGGGTTTAGGATTTTGGGTAGGATTAGAGATCATACTTTATAACTACTGATCAACAGTTCATATCTTAATAATGGGCAAGTAGTAAACCAGTCGTTAATAGCATGAATTGTGACCTAAACTAAAGTGTTACAGATATTTGTACTGTTTTAGTCAATAAAAATAACCTAACCAGCTGCAAATGAGCCATTGGACAGAACACTATACAGTATGTAAAGCATCTGCTGCTCTAAACCATACACTGTAAAATATATGGACGTAGTATCCGTGACGTCACGCATCGGTTTCTAAAGAGCGCAAAAGAAGCCACAAGTAGGCGCGGCCAACCATCGCCATTTTGTTCGCGCGTCATCACACCCACGGCGGGATACCAAACAAGGGCAAAGAGGCGGAGAGTGGGCGGAGCTACAGACACCTGCTGGCATTTAGCTTGGACCTGGTTCAGTCACACTTTACTTTGGGAGAACGCTTAATACTTTATCACTTGTGACTCGTTTGTGTTCTGACCACTTGTGCTTGGTTGTACACTATATCAATAAAGTGTTTAGTCTTTTAAAAACGCTGCTGTAACACACTGAGCCACTAAACATTGTTCTTATGACGTTTTTCAACAGGAGGAAAACGCAAATTACTTCCAAACACTTCAGATATAGTCTGTGTTAGTTAATGTAAGACTATTGATGAACTCCAGCATAACACTGTATGACAACACTTCAGATGACTGATCTAGAGCCTACAGCTAATCAATCTGTCAGATTCTGGAGAGCATTACAGCTCTAAATATAAATATAAACCATAAATGATCTTAAATAAAACAAATACATGTATAGAGATGGTATATAAGGACATAACTTTACTCACATGGGAAACGGAGGCCACGTGAATGGTTTGTGAGCACAATTAAGTGCACTCAGCATGCCATGCCATCTAATAATTGTAGGGAACAAGTCCAAAAGGCAGCTGACTGTGTAAAGCCACATAAAACAACACAGAAATACGATAAATATGCCGAGTTCAGTGACTAATCTGCAGGATTCAGCTGAGGTGAGGTGACGGCGACCAACGAGACCAAGCTGTCACTCAAGTGGCCACTCCCTTAATTATGCAAACTTAATATCACTTAATATAAAGGAAACGGATGAGTTATAAAAAATTCACCCCCTCACAGTTGTCATGAAGGGTAATATTAGCTGTATTAACCAAAATCTTTTTTTGTACCAGGCTGTAAACACCTTTATTTCTGCTGTAAAGTTGGCCATTCTAACAGTGGGCTCAATTGAAATTTGCTCTGTTTTAGAGCCAGAAGCGGCCAGGACTAGCGCAATTTCAGATGAATTGCAGTTTTAGTTACTTCCGTATTGGCTTCCTGAGAGAGAGCGGGAGGTTGCCGCTTGCTCTAAACTGAAGCAATGTTATACTTTATATCTGCGTCAGACTGTGCACCTCCTCTCTGATGAGACGGCCTACAGAGAGGAGGTGCACACTCTGACACAGTGGTGTGAGGAAAACCAAGATCACTCAACATCAGCAAAACCAAGGAGCTGGTGGTGGATTTCAGGAGAGAGAAGAGAGAGCACACCCCCATCACCATCAACGGGACGCCAGTGGAGAGAGTCAGCACTTTCAAGTTTCTTGGAGTCCACATCGCTGAGGATTTGACATGGACGGCTCACACAGATGCAGTGCTGAGGAAGGCACAACAACGCCTCTTCTTCCTCAGGCGTCTCAAGGAGGTTTGGAATGAGCCCCACATCCTCCGCTCGTTCTACTCCTGCACTGTGGAGAGCATCCTGTCTGGCTGCATCACCACCTGGTATGGAAACAGCACCAGGAGCAATCGCAAAGGCCTACATAGGATTGTGCTGGACGCGTAGTAGGAGGTGAGCTTCCCTCCCTCTAGGACATCTACACCAGGCGGTGCATGAGGAAAGCCAAGAGAATTATCAGCGACTGCAGCCACCCAAGACATAGACTTTTCTCTCTGCTACCCTCAGGCAGACGGTTCCGCAGCATCCGATCACGCACCAGCCGACTGAAGGAAAGCTTCTTCCCTCAGACTATCAGGCTGATGAACACTTAACACACCCCACACACACACAGACTCCACCATACCCCTCACTGCACACCATCAACATGTAGCATGCACTGCACTTTAACCAATCCATACTTGAAACAACACTGCCTACAACTATGTAGTCACCTATTCATTGCACATATCACTGTCTGTATTTGCACTGTCTGTAGTTTGTACAGTCTGGAGTCAGCACCTAAGCTTTTTACTCATTATAGCACACGTGCTGCTGATGATGTGACAATAACAGGTATTTGATTTATAGGCCCGTCACAATAATCAACATATTGACTTATCGCGCAATACTTGGAGATAACCACAATAATTTATGCCATTGGGTCCCACTTTATATTAAGTGTCCTTAACTACTATGTACTTACATCAAAAAAATAAATACAATGTACTTACTGTGTTTATAATGTATTTGAGAACACTTGTGGTGCTTTTGAGTTGGGATAGAGGTTGGGTTATGGACAGGTTTGGTGGTGTGGGTAGGTTTAAGGGTGGGTTAAGGTGTAAGGGATGGTCAACAGAGTATTTAGAAATTAATTACAAAAGTTAATAACAGATGTACTTACATACATTCATTTAATCAAGCATAAGTACACAGTAAATACATGTATTTACACAATAAGTACATTGTAACAAACTCTAAATTTCTATGTAAGTACATATTAGTTAAGGCCACTTAATATAAAGTGGGACCTGCCATTGCAATATACATTTAGAAATTCACAAAGTACCATTACAGTCATTTTACAATGACATAATCAGTGGCATAAAGTGATCACAAAATGACAGTAATATTGCTCACCACAACCTCACCGCTGTCAAAGTTTAGAATTGGACACTTACCTAATAGGATGTCTAATACTACATTTAATAGGACATTTACATATTTAACATCAAATTATACAATCTAAATAACCTTAAGAATAATAAGTATTTTCAAGTGTTTATGCATTATATAATCCTTGTAACGTAAAAGTTAGAGTCAGTAGGCAAGATACATGAAAATAAAACATCTTTATTTATTTTCCAAATCAACCAGATTCAATCTATATTACACGCTTCGGTCCCACTTTATATTAAGTGTCCTTAACTACTATGTACTTACATCAAAAAAGATAAATACAATGTACTTACTGTGTTTATAATGTATTTGAGAACACTTGTGGTGCTTTTGAGTTGGGATAGAGGTTGGGTTATGGACAGGTTTGGTGGTGTGGGTAGGTTTAAGGGTGGGTTAAGGTGTAAGGGATGGTCAACAGTGTATTTACAAATGTAGTTACAAAAGTTATTTACAGATGTATTTACATACATGCATTTAATCAAGCATAAGTACACAGTAAATACATGCATTTACACAATAAGTACATTGCAACAAACTCTAAATTTCTATGTAAGTACATATTAGTTAAGGCCACTTAATATAAAGTGGGACCCACGCTTCTATATAGTACAGTCAAAAACTGTGCTTCCTACCAACGCTCTCCTCAATGTAGTGAAGCCACAGTTATCTAGTATTGTACTGACACCTAGTGGATAAATGCCACTGTACAACGTACGGCTCCAACAACCCTTATCCAGTTAATGGCATAAAATGACCTCAAAATGACAATAATGGTGCTTCTCGCAACAATTTCTGTGACTAAATATCACAACAAAAATGCACCTGACAGTGCGCAACGCAGCAGGCGGTTAAAACACGAGGCACGCATGGGCGCATAAGTGGTCGTGGCCGTTAGTAAACAATTAAAAAAAGGCACCTCTCAATGCAAGAAGTGTGTTCAGTGTGATCGGCCCCTACAAACAAAACCTAAACTCAACTTCTACCTCACTAACAGCTAGTTTATTAAGCTAGTAGTGTTAGTTAATATAAGTAATGTGTATTTATATGGTTGCTTTATTGTGTATGGCCATACACCCAAAGCGCTTCACAATCATGAGGGGGGTCTCCACACTACCACCAGTGTGCAGCTCCACTTGGATGATGCGACGGCAGCCACAGGACAACAGCACCAGTGCTTCACCACACACCAGCTATTGGTGGAGTGGAGAGACAGTGATAGAGCCAATTCGGTGGATGGGGATGATTGTAAGGCCGATTGAAGGAATTTTTCCCAGGACACCGGGGTTACACCCCTGCTCCTTACCAGAAGTGCCATGGGATTTTTAATAAGCACAGAGAGTCAGGAGTTTAACATCTCATCCGAGAGACGGCGCCCACTGACAGTATAGAGTCCCCTTCACTATACTGGGGCATTAGGACTCATGCAGACCACAGGTTGAGCGCCCCCTGCTGGCCTCACTTACACCACTGGCAGCAACCTAGTGTTCCCATGTGGTCTCCCATCCAGACACTGACCAGGCTCAGCCCTGCTTAGCTTCAGTGAGTAGTCTTGGGCTGCAGGGTGATCCGGCTGTGGCTGATGTTTTAATGACATTGTTAATTGTGACTGAAACTAAAGTGTTACCATTAACTCTCTGTTTAAATCACAAACCCACATCAGCAGCCTCACCGATGCACTTTCCTCGCTGCACGACCACCTCTCCCAGAGAACTGTTGCTGAAGTGAAGGACTTCCTGTTGACGCGCGTTATCCTCATTATACGTGTCCCGTCTACAAGAACAAAACAAAACACAATAATATGCTTGATGATTGCTGTAATCAGAGCACTACTGCGAAAATAATCATTCACGACAAAGGCTTAGAATGTGAATCAGAATGAGCTTTACTGCCAGGTATGCATCACAGATACGAGGAGTTTGTTTTGGTGACAGAAGCTTCCACAGTGGGTTAAAGTCCTACATAGGCTACATTTCTCCAAAAAGAAATTACATAGGATTTCCCCCAATATATCTAGGATAAATAATAGGTTTTAGCTCACAGTTTTGTATTCTGCCATAAAATACAGGGATTCTGGAATGAGTTTTTAACTTCTTGAGGCCCAAGCTGTTTTTTACATGCATTTGTTTTTCTTTGCTATTTGGGCTTATTGGAACCGAATTAGAATAAAAATCTAAGGATCATCTTTTAATATGATGTACTTTTAGAGAAAAATGATGTCCATATATGTGGACTTGTGGACTCAATTTACATAAACACTTTTTCCCCAAAAAATTGTTTGCATATTTAAAGGGTCACGAAACACCAGAACACATGTGTTGAGCTGTTGACAGTGGTATATGTGTCCCACACTGCTAAAAACACTATTAGGACACCTATATTTCACTAAAAAGTGTAAATTGGTTGTTTTTGCGTTATTTCAAGCAAATTCGTACTTCCGGTTTGAAACGAATTTTTGAAGCTGCGTCACGGTCATGAGATAATAGCGTGTATTCCAGCGTGCAGACTGGACGTCTGTGCCAGAGTGTGTCTTATTACGTCTTACAGTGTGTTGCATTAATGCATGAGTAAGGCTTGGTTCAAACCAATCAGCAACACTGTCACAGTGTTTAGACGACAGAGACGCCACGTTGTGTTGGCAAAACAAGCGTGAAGTGTTGCTTTTATAGTTTGCTGCAGTGAAGTTTTGTTTTCATTTTCTCTCTGTGAGAGCGCAGCTGGAGTCACGTGTGGATTAACAGTGTACGCGACGCTCGACAACAATAACTTACGTGTCTAAGGAGGATTATTGTTTACCTGAGAGCTGTTCTCATCTGCAAACGCTGAGATCCGGATTCGCTTGTAGTCTCCTCTTAATAAAGACGCGGCTCTAGTTGCTGGTGATTGTCCTGTCTCTACAGATTTGGTAAGTGAGCGACCAGTGCTCTTTGTTTATTCAGTTTGTTCGTATCGAACTAAGTTAACTATTGCACCGAGTGTGAACATGTTAGCACCACAACCAAACTTTAACCTCGTGTAGGATTTTCACCGCATTTTGTGACCGGAATAACACACGCGGCTTTCTGACGCTACCTGCCGTGTGCATCTAAGTTTCCGGGAAATGCAGAGGGTTTTTTTCTCTCATTCGCCGTGCGGTATCAAACATTGCATGAAAAATACACGCTTAGAGCAGCTCCTCCAATCAAATATCTCGTTTGTCGCGAGGGGCATGAATGAATTCCCTGAATGAAAGAGCCAAACTGCAGTTAAAGTCCACCATTTATTCATTTGGCAAATAATTCAACTACAGATGTCCATGTAAACACAGTCACTTTCTCCCTCGTGTGTGTTTGTGTGTGTGTGTGTTTTGACTCTGATGCCCCGTTTACACTAGTGCGTTTTAGTTTTAAAACGGCGTTGTAGAATGAAAACGATCCGCGTCCACACTCGCGTTTTACCCAGCGTTTCTGAACTGCTCTCTGTCCACACCAAAACGCTGAAAACGCACATCACGTGACCACACACACACTCTCGGGCAAGCGCTCCAGCATTTCTACCCAGATGAGAGCTATGCTTGTCGGACTGCTCATCACGCATCTCCCGCTGGATCTAATCTCACTATATTTGCTAAATGTGATATTTCATTCATGTTGTTGTCTTTATCTAACGACATATTCCCTGACTTTGGTCATTGACATCTATTAAGTTACGGGTAACATGTTTTGGTTAAGCGCAAAGATAAGTTAATGATTAATCCAGGTACATTGACTGATCGCTCGTCTTTATTTCCTATAATGTATAAACTTATTGTATGTTATACTTTTAAAATTATCGATTATTAAAACTGATATTCAGCAGAAGAGAGGGTGCGTTTCGTATTTTCACTGAAATTGAAAGGAGGCAGTTGTTATCGGCTCCGTTTTGTTATAAATATCCACACAGTGAAGATGACGCTCATATATGCCGCCTCAACATTTCTGCTGTCTGTTTAGTTGCTAATATTAAAAAGAAAATAGGCAGTTCCTTAAATCATGTTTACATTTTATTGTTGAGAAAGTGAAACAACGTAGCCAAGGTGATGTGAATGAAGTTATAAAGTACACTGTTCCCTTTGAAGATTTACCCGTGTCCTCGGTATGTTTTCCATATCAAACTGAGAAGAAGAGACTGCAGCCTTGATCAAACTTGAAGTCTTAACTTACAAGGAGAGGATGCGAGACTGAACTGTGTGTGGGCTACTTAATATTGAGGAAAAGCCCCAATCAGAGAGGCGAACGTTTGCAGCCCCGCCTCCGTTTTCAGATGTCTCCGTTTTCCATCATCCACACTGAGACGGAGCAGCAGCGTTTCAGAATGAAAACGGCCTCTCCAGCGTTTTCAAAAAGCTCCGTTTTCGGCGCTCGAGAACTCCGGCGTAGTGTGGACGGATGGCGTAACTGTAGCAAAACTTATGCGTTTTCAAACTAAAACGCATTAGTGTAAACGGGGCCTGAAACTCGCGCGTGCCCAAATAGACACTCCCACACCCTCCCACTTTAGTTCCTCCGACACTCCCCCCTAAACAAAGCTGGACACGCCCACTTTTCTGGCTTTTTTCAAAGTAGAGGTGTGAAAACACCCTGCTGAAACGACGGGGTTTCATGGCCCTTTAACATAGAATAGTTTTTTTTTTACTTGCTTTGACTATTAGAGAGTAAACACTTTTTTTGTTGTTTTTTTTTACCATTTTGAACAGTTAAAATAGTGTTTGGGACATTTCATATGCTGCAATACAGTTGCAGGATGACACTGCATGTCTGTAACAAAATATAAAACATTCAAAGTATTTTAAATAGCCACTTAAGAGCTCAAAATGTGCCGTCCACGTATGTGTGCACTGAGCCCTAGGAGGTTAAAGTGCTTTCAGATGTCCTTGATCAACATGTAGATCCTCACCCAATGCTTATTATACTAGGACATTCTGACTATACAAATTCATGGAGCAGTGCACAACAGAAATTCCTACCAGTTTGTTTGATAACAGCCAAAAAGTTGCTAATATTGTGATGGAAAAATGTTAATCCCCCAACTGCTAAACTATGGCTTCAAGAATTGATATCCACTCTGCACCTGGAACGAGCCAGATATCTTTTAAAAGGCAAAATTGAACAATTTCAGAAGATTTCAATTCAATTCAATTTGTTTATTGGCATGTGCACAGTAAGGAAACACGTTTCCCTACAATGAAAGTCTTACTTTGCCGTCCACAGTGAAGTCATACACATAACAGACACATAGTTACACATATATACACAGAAGTGACGGAAGTATAACTATCAAATGTATATACAGTTAAAGTCAGAGTTATTCGCCCCCCTTGGGATTTTTCTTTTCTTTTTTAAATATTTCCGAAATGATGTTGAACAGATTCAGGAAATGTTCACAGTATGTCTGATAATATTTGATCTTCTGGAGAAAGTCTGATTTGTTTTATTTTGGCTAGAATAAAAACAGTTCTAAATTTTTTAAACACCATTTTAAGGTCAAAATTATTAGATCCTTTAAGCTGTATTTTTCGAAAGTCTACAGAACAAACCATCATTATACAATAACTTGCCTAATTACCCTAACTTTACCCTAATTACCCTAGTGAAGCCTTTACATGTCACTTTAAGCTGAACACTAGTGTCTTGAAGAATATCTAGTCTAATATTATTTACTGTCATCATGACAAAGAGAAAATAAATCAGTTATTAGAGATGAGTTATTAAAACTATTATGTGCAGAAATTTGTTGAAGAAATCTGCTCTCCGTTAAACAGAAATTAGGGAAAAAATAAACAGGAGGGTGAATAATTCTGACTTCAAATGTATATATAAATATCTATGAATGCATATAACTTATAATACTGATAGTTAAGTAATGTAAACAGATGTAAACAATGTATAGTAGTTCTTAAAATTGTGATTATTAGAGCTGTGAACCTACACTAGTCTCACGGTTGGGTTGCGATTATCATGCCATCGATTCGCTTCAATTCGATATCTCGGTGCATCGACGGTGCTTTCCATACACAGTTTTATATTTTCTACACAGCAGCAGTTCTTGTATTAAATGTATGAATATATAGATATTTATATACTATTTGTAATGCAATTTTGTCATTTAATACAAACAGTCAGAAATATAAACTGTAACTTTAAACAAAACGAGCGAATAATATAAACAAATATAAATATCCCGCTCACTTTCTCATCCTTGTCTAGTTCTCTTACACCTCTTTGATTGGTCACACCCTCAACAAAAACGGTTGCGATTGGCTGTTGAGCGCTGCGCTCTTCACAGATGAGTGACACTGATAAGCGGCGGGCGGCAGCGGCGATCACAGTTGATGCATGATAGACACGGTGGAGAAAACTCTGCAGACACGCGCTCGTTTCTGTATCCAAAAGTAATGCTGTAAAACAGCCGAAGAGAAGCAAAGCCATGGCCGCAGGTCAAATGGGCCACTGTGTGTGTGTGAGAAAGAGAGAGAGAGACAGAGACGAGCGAGAGCGAGAGAGAGAAATGGAGTACTTTCATTCTCTCGATCTCAGTGAAATAGGGTCTTTTGTTGTATATGTCAGTGAAAGACTGATCCAGCAAACACACACAGTGAAATTGTGCACAGTTTATGAGTTTTAAGTAGTTAAAGCGCTGTAAATATTCGCGATCGCCTCCCTCACGACAGAGCGCATATAAGGTAAATGACGTCAGTAATATTTATGCTGAACCGATACCGAATTGTCCGTGTCTGCATCGCAGTGCACCAAAGAAACGATTAATTTTGACACCCCTAGTGCTTATTATGCAAAAAAGTGCCTAGTGCAATCGGCTTATGTGCAAACAACAGTATAATGGCTGGAGCAGGTTGAGTGCAAATGTATGCATTAATAGTGCAAACTGGGATGGAGAATATAATGTGCTACTGAGCAGAAAATGAAACTGTTCATGTCCACTGGCTATCCTTTTAAAACCCTGATAGCTGATGAGAAAAAAAGAGTGGGGGCCTTTTTTTCTGTCACTTCATTGGGAATTCTTTTCCCCAAACAAATGTATTGCAACTAAAACGTTGTATTGATTTTCACTGTATTGTATACCTACAGGTTGGGGTTAGGATGTTTGTTTTTATTTTGCTTTGTAAGCTTATGCATATCAGTAAATTAATCCTGGAATTTGTGATTATTGTAAGTCTATTCAATGACCAAATGAAACTTATTTGAGTTATTATTTGAGCAGGTTGTCCACAGCACTGCTATCTAATAACTTTCCTAATTACCCTAGTGAAGCCTTTAAAGGTCACTTTAAGCTGTATAGAAGTGTCTTGAAGAATATCTAGTCTAATATTATTTACTGTCATCATGACAAAGAGAAAATAAATCAGTTATTAGAGATGAGTTATTAAAACTATTATGATTAGAAATGTGCTGAAGAAAATCTTCTGTTAAACAGCACATGGGAAAATATTTGAAAAAAGAGTATTAATTTCACAAGATTGCCAATAATATTGGTAATAATTCAATGTAATAGTGTTCACCTTTTATAAAGCTGATTTCAATGTTAAATATTTTGAGAAAGATCAGTGTTATATATTTATATATCAGATGTAAACGCAGGTGAATCAGACCTGTGTCTGCTGCTGGATGTGGTTCTGCGTCTGTTCACCAGAGTTTTCTTCACTTCAGACGAATCCACTGGAGACCCTGAGGAGACTGACGTCTGTCTTTCTGGAGGAGGAGGAGGAACCGAGACCGAGCTCTCCTGACGCTCCTGAACACAACACACAAACATCAGCCTCTAGTTCGTATTTACCACGTCTCACTTCTCATTCGGTCGAAACCCAAAATATTGCCAAACTGCAGAGGTTGTCTTTATTTTCGAGATCAGGGGCCTCATGTATCAACGCTGCGTACGCACAAAAACTTTGCGTACACCAGGTTTCGCGCTCAGAATCACTCATGTTTGGATTTACTAACGATGAACTGAACGTGGGAATGTGTGCAGCTCTACGCCAGCATTATGGCTGGCGTACGCACATTTTTTGTGCGTGTCTGTTTTATTTCCATTGGCGACTCCTAGAGGCAGTTGTGTTAAATTCCTCTCTACAAAGTGTCTTCTCAGTTGTATGAGACGGGTTCATCTGCATGTCTAGTATATAAGGTTTCCGTACCATGCGGTTGACCATCCAAACATTAAAGCGCAAATTGCAGCGGTCGCCGGTAGGGGTGTAACGATACACTCAGCTCACGATACAATGTGTATCACGATATGGTGTTCACGATTCGATATGTATCACGATATTTGGAATAAAAATTTTAAATTAAACTACATGCAAATTTTATTTTTAAAAATTTAATTACCAAGTAAACTAATTTTTATTTATTTCTTTTGTTTCAACTTGTTAAACCTTCTTAAAGAAAATAAATTAAACCGGACTGTCTCTGGAAAATAAAACAATTTAAAAACTTCTTATAAAATATTATTGAAATGATTCAATTCAATTGAATTTAACAGTAAGAGCTTAAGGCTTTGCTTGGTCACTTGTGTTTTTTGTGTGTGCAATCCACATTTCCAGGTAATCAGCAGTTCTATAAGATAATCCTGAACTGATGTGTATCTGTCTGAGAGGTTTTTATGGATGTCTGTCTTCATGTTGGGCATGATGAGTGACAGGGTGGCCGTCTTTTCATTACACAGGACAGTCGTGGCATTACACAGGACAGTCGTGGCTCTTTTCAGCAGTTTAGGCAGGTTTACTATTGCTTCGGCGTCGCTGATGTCGGCGCTATCAAGTGTATCATGTTGATTTGCATTTTTGTGTAGCTCTGTACTCAAAAGAGTTCATGCTCGTCGTAATCAAAACTCTAAAATGCGATATGATTGTTTAAATAATGTGCACGTTTTCGGTTTCATTTCCACTGCTGTTCATACTTCCCACGCGGCTCCTGAACGGATCACTTTGTTCCACAAACTAAATGTTGAATGTTAGTCACAGTGTTGAATGCTGAATGTTAGTCACAACCTGCAGGTTCTGTTCACTGAAGCAGACGCGCGCGTCTATCATAGTCCGCCCTCTGTAGTAACAGCTCTCGGTCAGCTCACGTCATGTGTGATTTTGCGGCCGCCAATACATCATTATATGAAGACAGAATGATATTTTAGGGTGAATTGTACCTTATAAATACAGTATGTGACTCTTTCAACACCATTAGGAGGTATCCATGTCGCTGTGCAAAGTATGTAAATCACTGTGAAGACTTTAAAACTTCGGCTATGATTGACCCAGTATGCGTGTCAAAAAGCGGACGAGTCTAAAGCAATGACTGTACAACCGAAATGTTGGCAGACGTCTGATTTTGAGAGGATGGGTCATCCTCTATTTCAGCTTCACTCATCTTGGTCTGCTAACATTACTGCTGCTGCAATCTGAACTCACGTGCGACAGCAGGTGGAACGTAGCTCACGTGCAAACAGCTCAACTAATAAGAGAAAACGGACGTC